TAGTAGTTTGGAGGCCATCGCTATTGGGTGGCAGGCGGTCGCTAGTAGTCTGGAGGCCATCGCTATTGGGTGGCAGGCGGTCGCTAGTAGTTTGGAGGCCATCGCTATTAGGTGGCAGGCGGTCGCTAGTAGTTTGGAGGCCATCGTTATTGGGTGGCAGGCGCTCGCTAATAGTTTTGGAGGCCATCGCTATTAGGTGGCAGGCGGTCGCTAGTAGTTTGGAGGCCATCGTTATTGGGTGGCAGGCGCTCGCTAATAGTTTTGGAGGCCATCGCTATTAGGTGGCAGGCGGTCGCTAGTAGTTTGGAGGCCATCGTTATTGGGTGGCAGGCGCTCGCTAATAGTTTTGGAGGCCATCGCTATTAGGTGGCAGGCGGTCGCTAGTAGTTTGGAGGCCATCGTTATTGGGTGGCAGGCGCTCGCTAGTAGTTTGGAGGCCATCGTTATTAGGTGGCAGGCGCTCGCTAGTAGTTTTGAGGCCATCGCTATTAGGTGGCAGGCGGTCGCTAGTAGTTGGCGGTCGCTTTGCCCAGAGACACTGAAACCAGAGTTGAGTCTCGGGCAGGCCCCTGGAGCTGGGCGAAATGAAGCTCTTCACTGACAGCGTCGCATCGCGCCGTGATGTTCGTGACCACGGTACGCTCCGTGCGAACAATGCGGCATTTCCAGCCGCCACTGCGTTGCTGCGTGGCACGGGCTGGATGCTCGTCCCTTGGATGTCCTTGTGAGGGACGGATCTGAGGAGAGTCTCAGCAGAGTTGGGACTTAGAGCTTTAGGTTCAACAGCAGAGTTTAGATTGTGTTTTTCAGAGGTCAACGGTGCACCCAGTCTCACATGTGTAAGTTCCAGCTGTCCAGGCGCATTACACCCGCAGTTCCCATGTTCGTACCCCTATCACCGTGAACACCTAAAGTGTGATTTGTATGATTGGCTTTGCTAGTAGGGTTCCTCCTGGCTTTTTAGTAGGCATAAGCGAGCGGGGCTGCTTCAAGATCAGGGGCTGCAAGACATCAGACAAAAGTTTTTGGTATAAGGTCCCGCTCACTTCTTTTGCTCTTTTCTTGCCACTGGCACCGGGTCCTGCCCAGTTGGCGCTGGCATCGCTCATCCTCATTTCATCGGTGGCGGTCCTCCTACGTCGCCGCCATCTGGAGCCGATCAGCGAGGCGTTGCCGGCGTTGCTGGAGTGACGGGGAGTTCCGGTAAGGCTTCCGACTTGAACATGTGTCCAGAAGTCCCACATTTTATCTCTCTTTCGAGGGTTGAATCGGAAGACACAGGAAGCCCCGCAGGATTTCTGACATTCATGTTTTGCTTTGCGTTGACTTTTGTAGTCCCAGCATCAAAGAGGGAGAACGAGCGGTGTACACAAGGTGGTGCGAATTTTGTCTATCAATTGTAGATCCAATCGTCTCATAAAGAAATCATCATCTCTTCCAATATTTCCTTATGCTTATTTTCTCTTTTATTCAGTGTTGCTGTTGCATTTGGTTTATTCCACTCGATTCCAGATTCGTTGGAAGCTTCCGCAATCCAAATGTTTCAAGCCGGCACAGCGGAGCCAACTAGACAACCGCGATTCCGACGGAGTTTTTCTGTTTGAGTTTATTCTTAGTTTCTGGGCGAAACGGTGAACTTTGCTTCTATGATTCAATGTGCAAATGATGACATGTACAGTCTGGAGATGGTGTTCAGAGCCATGACCTCCGGATTGTGTCCAAGTTGACGTCAGTGGAGAAGGGCCCGTGCTGGCATGATGCGTCGGGGCGTTTGTGCCCGACATTGGTGACCGAATTCGTCCCGCCATGGTCAAAGAAATCTGCATATCAGTCTGCATCAGTGGAAACATATGAAGACAAAAACACCATTCAGTATCCCCGTGATTAGTTTTAAGCTTTTGTATCATGACCCATTCATTTGTCAACTGTTTCAAGTCTTGACAGGAACAAGTAGGTTTTGACAGGTTAAACACATGAAACAAGTCTGATTCAGGTTGTGGGTTGTGAGTGATGACTGTTTGTTATGACATAACTCTCAGCATGTCGGCTTTGGCCTTCATTGCGATGACAAAGCTTCGCAGATGATTGGTGGGATGTAGAGTGATCGAGCGAGGTAAGACCAAAGTGGAGCCTGTGCGAAAGGAGCTATGGAATCGTTGCCAACTCTTCTGGACCGAAGAATTAATGACAGGTGTGGGGCCGGGATAAGTCCCACAGTAAAGTTTCAAGCTGAATGATTCCTTTTGGAGCAAGTTCCAGACAGCCTGTAGCTTTCGCTCAATTTGGGTAAAGCTGTCAATCAGGATAGGCCTACCGTTTTCAGTTCCGTCAGAAGACAGTGTCCAACTGATGTGGCCGGTGTCGCCACTTTGCTCAAGCATGCCAGAGCATTGGAAAACATCGAAAAAAGAAAGCGCTGACCATTTACCTTGAGGACTTTGACAGGAATTCGTGTGGTCAAGATCCGCTGGTATATCTCACCAAGTATCAATTTGACGCTGTTTGGGACAGTCCGTTTTGCCTCATTTCACGGCTGCCATGGTTGTGTCCAAGGCCTCGTGGGCATTCTTCGGTACAGTTCCTACATGTTGATGTTTGCTGTTCATTAGACTCGCCAAAATTCTTTTGCCAGTTGGCCATGCACACCTCACTTGGCAGGCGATAGCACCTCCTCCAGGATTGGAGGAGCAAGGGTTGGAGTTTGAGAAGTTCAAGAGGGTAAAAATGCATGGTCCCAACTTTACTACTAGGAGCAAGGACGCTACTAGGGGCTCCTGGTCTTACTACTAGGAACAAGGACGCTACTGGACTCGTCTTGTACATGTGAAAACGCACACAAAGAGACGAAGACACGAAGCCACCTGGGGACCTGGAGGACATCAGATATGAGTCAAATGAACAGCTCTTCTATGAATCAACAAAATATGTTCTTTTGTTCCACACTATTGTGGCGGGGGAGCTTCCTGGAAGAAACGTGAACTGGACGCAGGATTAGTTACTTGAAGCTAAGTAGTCGTCCTAAGCTTACTCCCTGGTTAACTTAAAGTAGGCAGATAGTCTCTATATACCTTAGAGTTACAGTAGGTTGGAGGCTGTGGAGGCCATCGCTCTCGACGTACGAAGGCATCTGATGGCTCCAAAGGACCGTGTCGAGCCAGAGCCCGAGAGCCACGAAAAGCAGAAGTTTTTCCGTAAGAATTTCTTGTTCCACAAAAGAATGAACGACATGAACACTTTTTTGGATGTTTTGGATGTTTTTATCAGTTTTTTACAAAAGAACCTGTTGCTCGATGCAAAACTGCTGACTTTGCTCTTTTCCCAAAAGGTGTGGGTTGAACACATTTTTGCATAATTTTAAAAGATCAGGATAGTTTGTTCACAACCACCATCAGGTTTGTGCAAGTAGTATTGGAACACGAATCAAGGTTGTATCGAACTGTGGAGCGTTGCCGCTCTTCTTTGCTATGCACCTTTATGGCGAGTTTCGTCGACTGGAGATGGATCGGTGAATGCTCCAGTCCTTGTCGACACATGGAAGTAGTTTGTCGACACTAGCCATGCGCAACACTGTTCTCTTCAAACAGTCTCTCCTTGCCCTTGTAGCCGCCCGACCTACAAGAAAGGTCCGAAGCTAGTAGGTTGGAGGCCATCGCCAATAGGAGTCGTGTCGTGTCGACTAGGGGAGGGGAGTCGGCCCGGGTGGTCTTGCCAATTGTGGCCATTTCAGAGGGCACGGCACAGTCAAAGCTGCACCAAAGGTGTTGAGGGAAACCCTTTTTGAACTCAAAGAGTGTGGGTTGACAAGACCAAGACAAACCCCTATGTTTTCATCAAGTTTCTCACGTGTTTCAGTGCGTGTTGGTGCTTGTCAACCCGAGGCGAACAATTTCTCGAGTTATGCCTATGCCACGCCTGCCTGGACCGGGTTGCTTAAAGTGGAGAGTGGGTGAATCATAGAGAATAGTAGGTTGGAGGCCCATCGCTAGATTTGAAACTCGCTAGTATAGGTATTGGAAACCATGCGGCAGACAAGGGCCGCTGTTGTTTCTCGAGCCAAACGCGTGCCATTTTGGCATGTCATGTGCTCAACTGGTACACTTCTCGATTTGTGCGATCCGGTGAACCGCACTCCCCCTAGATCATTTGATCAGGAGAAAGCTGTACCCAACCCGTTGGCCAGGTGACGGCATGTCTTCCCGCTTGCAGTCGGCATCTACAAAAATCTGCCGAGCTGCTGATGCCGCTTCCATGCCACCACTTGATCGCCGCCTCCGAAGCACCTGCGTCCAAACGAAGTCGCTGAAGAGGATTTGAGGAAAGCCATTGGGCATATCGCTCTTCCACCCCCTTCAAAGTAATAGTCCACCATTCCCTCGCAGATTGGCTAACATCGGACACTATTGGCTCCACCGTGGCCAACCAACCCCCGAAGGACAATGAATTGGCATCAGGAGCCAAGCCAGGAAATTTGACCGTCCGCAAATTCTCGTTCACAATCTCGCCGCCCACATTGGTGTTGAACCTGTAGTCCCCCTGCAGGACCCGTAGGCATTCCAGCCCCTGGCCACATGAATGCCCCAGGCAACAATCCAGGAGGATACGGCCATGGAAAGCTAGGTCCGTTCAGGCCAGGATACCATTTTGGCACCCCTTGTAGATGTTGTCCGTGCTGCTCCAGGTGTAGGTTGCTCTGGCCCTCCTCCAACTTGACCACCCTTGTCTGGTGAAGTCTTACTGGCACCTCCGTCGCTGACTTAAGCATGGCATCTGGAGGAGGATTACTCTCTCTCTGTTTGTCAGCTGCCGAACCCCAGCCGCAAAGCGTTGTTCTGCTTTTTGAAGTCGAAGACGAAATAGTTCCACTGGATTCATAGTTTGCACCACCGGAGCTCCCAACTGCTGCGTCCTCAACTTCTCCGCCGACCAAGGATTGATAGGAGATCCGTGTACCATTTCCAATGTCGTCGTGGTTGAGCTCGCTTCTGGTTGATGTCCTCCATCGTGCCCTCGTCCCTCCTTGAAGACCGCACACCCTCCAAGTACACCATGTCGAGCTTGTTGCAAATCTCTTCGGCCTAGAGAAATCAGCCAGTGCGAAGCATCCTGGCCATTAGGTACTCGGACCTCCCATCAACCCCCGGCTGCACTGTTGGAGCTCCACGTGGGCCTTCTGGTAGTCCACTGCCAGCTGCTGGAGTTATTGTAGACGAAGCCTGGCTTGTCCTCTTGAGAGCTGGTGTCAGCTTGGTGGTTGGCTCCAAACTCTGAGCTCTCCTTTCCTTTGCAGAGCTTGTTGAGCAGCCTCCAACACCGCATCCAGCTTCTCGTCTGCGGTCTGCTCTTTCGCCTTGGGTGCTAATCTTCCCCTCCTCAAGTCACCTATGGCGTGAGTCCATCACGAACTCGCAGGTGCTGGTGGCTGCCACCTCAGCAAACGCTTGGGCTCATAACCCATGTGGCAAACAATGCCGCTGTTCTCGATTTGTGCGATCCGACGAACCGCAGAAACAAAGCAAAAAAGAAAGAAAGGACTTTGCCAAGTGATTTTTCCTTTGAAGCCTTGAGACAGAAGGGTTGTGAGAGGTAGACTCAGGTAGACCTTGGACTTAGAAGGCGAAACACCATAGTGTGCCCCGCTCGAACTCGAACTCGAACTCGAACTGAAACAGTTATACTTATGGATGAACTCAACCCTGAAAGGATATATGGAAGGAACCGAACTCGAACTCGAACTCGAACTCGATCTCGAACTCGAACTCGAACTGAACAGTTAGAGGTCAACTCGGTGGCCGAATAGCAGGAGTCGAACTCCAAAATCGCTGTCGTCGATTCGAATTTGAACTCGAACTCGAACTGGTGCCCCCCGCCCGGGTGTCAAAATTGTCGTCGATTCGAATTCGAATTCGAACTCGAACTGGTTCCCCCCCGGGGTGTAAACATTTTCGGCGCTTCGAACTGGAATTCAAACTAATGCTACGTTGTAATAATGGCTCCTTCCTATTCAAATTTTAACCCTCGAATGGCCCACAACAGGAATGCTACGTTGTAGTGGCTCCTTCCTGCTCTAAATTTTGCCCTCGGGTGGCCCACAAAAGGCATGCTACGTTGCAATGGCTTCTTCCTTTTCTAAATGTTACTTTCGAGTGGCCCACAAACGGAATGCTACGTTGTAATGGCTCCTTCCTTCCTGCTCTAAATTTTACCATCGGGTGACTCACAAAAAGAAATGCTTCCTTGTAATGGCTAAAACCTGCTATAAATTTTACCCTCGGGTGGTCCACAAAAGGCATGCTACGTTGCAATGGCTTCTTCCTTTTCTAAATTTTATCTTCGAATTGCCCACGAAAGGAATGCCACGTTGCAATGGCTTCTTCCTACTCTAAACTGTATCTTTGTGTGGCCCACAAAAGGCATGCCACGTTGCAATGGCTTCTTCTTCCTTTTCTAGATTGGCCAACACAAGGAATGCTACGTTGCAATGGCAATGTCTTCTTCCTATTCTAAATTTTACCCTCGGATGGCCCACAAAAGGGATGCTACGTTGTGGTCAGTTGGTTGGTTGCTGCTCGCGCCGCTGGCAGGTGGCTGTTGGTTGGTTGTGTTTGGTTGGTTGGTTGGCAGGTTTTTTGCCGCAGGGAGTTCACACTAAAATGCGCGGGAGGGGTTGGGGGGGGGCGCAGCGCCCCCCCAGCAGCACACCAGATCCCAATAAAACAAGTGTTGGCTGCAAAGATGAGACTGCGCAGCGCGGATACTTTCAACAGGTTGATTGCTTTGTTGCTAGCTTGGTTGGTTCCTGTTCTTCTTCTTTGTTGTGGGTCGTGGCCATTGCTGTTGTGGTTGTTGTCGTTGCTGTTGGTTCTCGTTGCTGTTGTTGTGGGTCGATCCGAGCTCGAACCCCCCTTATAAGTCCCTTAGTCGCCGATCCGAACTCGAACTCGAACTCGAAGTGGTCCACCCCCCCTCTCGCTCGATCCACGCATCTTGCGCATCGAACTCGAACCCGAACTCGAACTCGAACTTGAACCCGAACTCGAACGGGATCAGTTAGAACCACCTGGGGCACGGCCTGCGAAACACGGTACTTCAACCTTTGCAATCTGGAGGCTGGCCAGCATGCTATCTATCAGCCATTATCAGCCTGTCTCTGCCTCATGTAACTAAACTCAGCGCAGTATGGTGACGCTCTCTGAATGATTGTTTTTTGGAAAGAGAATAGTGTCAAACCCAGGGGGAGATCACTCTGATGTTTCATGTTGTTCACTTCAGTTTTGGTTTGATTTTATTTTCTATTTCTTTCAGAGAGCCATTGACTGAACTGCAGTGCGAGGACACCCATGGGCAGTATGGCCGACGGCTACAGGGGGCACGGGCCTTTGCCTGATTCCCCAAAAAATTGATGGGCAAGCGGCCTACAAGACTCTAAACAGTCTTTAAATGTAGAAAATAGTGCAAAGAATCCTCTCATCTCCAAACATTCCCACATTTAGGGTTTGCAGCCTGTTTTGCTTGACATTCCCTTCGCTGTGTTTTTTTGTAGCTTTCCTATTTGCAACAATTTTTTTTGCGGTTCTTTGGCTCTTTCGATAAGTCCAGCCGACATCCGTGTGATTCCAAGGCGATCTTGCGAGGGAAGATTCCTGCGATTTGAGTTTTTTGATGTTTTTAGGGGGACGGTGAGAGAGGTCTGAAGGCGAAGTACAGAAGCTGCTCCGCGAAAACTGTGCGTTTATGTCGTGGATTTGCCGAGGCAGATGCCGAGGCCCAACCAGGCTCGGGATCCCAGGCTACTTCAGGCGGACTCCAAGCGTAACTTGCATCAGCGGATCAGCGCTTCTTTTTTGTGACGTGATGGCAACAGCGGTTGTAGAGAGTGCCCCCTTTTCGATTGAGGGGGTTGTTGCTAGAAAGAGAAAAAGACAGACAGCCGTTAGTCAGTCTATATTTCCCAGGTAAGAAGGCAATGAGAGATTTCTGTAGTGGCCATCGCTATTCGGTTGGATTCACCCGCTATTCGGGTGGAGGTCATCGCTAGTAGGTTGGAGGTCATTGCTGCTGGAGGCCATCGCTAGTAGGTTGGAGGCCATCAGTATTAAATATATGTTGGAGGCCATTGCTATGAGGTTGGAAACCATCACTATTCGGGTGGAGGCCATCGCTATTCGGGTGGAGGCCATCGCTAGTAGGTTGGAGGCCATTGCTCTTAGGTTGGACGCCATGGCCATTGCTCGTAGGTTGGAGGCCATCGCTATTCGGGTGGATCGCTACTAGGTTTATATATTAGGTTGGAATTAGGTTGGAGCGTAAGTCACTGTGGGGATTTCTGTACACGGCTCCAGTGGAGCCACTGTCGGATTTCTGAAGATCTCTGGCTCCGACCCGAGGGCGGAAACTACCAAGGCGAGCCTGGGCGTGAAAGATTCCAAAGCATTCAACACCGCCAGCCAGAGGTTTGTTGCCCTTCAAGCATTTTGTTGGCATATGTTTTGCCGTCAGCTTGGAGCTTGGGGTTCAGCCTTTCCTGGTCTTGTAGAATATGAGTGCCTTGAGCACACCCCCAAAAGAAGAGACTCCAAGAGATTCTGAAAGGACATTTTCCAGTCGGTGGGCTGTTAGGGGCTTCTTGGCACATTTGTCGCGTCCCTTTCCTGCTCTCAGCTTGATTCTTTCTTGAAGTGTTGAAGGCAAAACAGTGATCTCTTCTTTTCAAACAACGCAGAAGTTTGGTCGAAAGTTCACGCACAATCGCAACTGCAGCTTGTTGGATCCAAAGTTACTTAACAAAGAATCCGTGGCCCGCATTGCGTGTTGCCCACTAGCACAAAGTTTTATCAGCTATGGACCTCACGTCAGACATGTCGACCGTGTCTCTTCAGTGTATGTTGAAAGTGGCCTGCGCCCAGGTGAGGATAGGTCCAATGATCTATGATGATATATATATATATCTTTTGTTTGTTGGAGGCCATCACTATTAGATTGGAGGCCATTGCTATTATGTTGGAGGCCATTAATATCAGGTTGGAGGCCATTGATATTAGGTTGGAGGCAATGATATCAGGTTGGAGGCCATTGCTCTTAGGTTGGAGGCCATTGCTATTAGGTAAGAGGCCATTGCCATTAGGTTAGAGGCCATCCTTACTAGGTTGGAGGCCATTGCTATCGCTATTTGGTTGGAGGCCATCCCTAGTAGGTTGGAGCCATTTCTTCTAGGTTGAAGGCCATCGCTATTTGGTTGGAGGCCCTTGCTAGCAGGTGTGAGGCCAGTGCTATTAGGTTCGAGGCCATTGCTATCAGGTTCGAGGCCATCGCTATTAGGTTGGAGGCCGTCGCTATTAGGTTGGAGGCCATTGACAATGGGTTGGAGGCCATGATATCAGGTTGGAGGCCATTGCTCTCAGGTTGGAGGCCATTGCTATTAGGTAAGAGACCATTGCGTTAGGTTGGAGGCCATCCTTATTAGGTTGGAGGCCATTGCTATCGCTATTTGGCCATTGCTATTAGGTTGGAGGCCATTGCTATTAGGTTGGAGGCAATGATATCAGGTTGGAGGCCATTGCTCTTAGGTTGGAGGCCATTGCTGTTGGGTAAGAGGCCATTGCCATTTGGTTGGAGGCCATCCTTACTAGGTTGGAGGCCATTGCTATCGCTATTTGGTTGGAGGCCATCCCTAGTAGGTTGGAGCCCATTTCTTCTAGGTTGAAGGCCATCGCTATTTGGTTGGAGGCCATTGCTAGCAGGTGTGAGGCCAGTGCTATTAGGTTCGAGGCCATTGCTATCAGGTTCGAGGCCATCGCTATTAGGTTGGAGGCCGTCGCTATTAGGTTGGAGGCCATTGACAATGGGTTGGAGGCCATGATATCAGGTTGGAGGCCATTGCTCTCAGGTCGGAGGCCATTGCTGTTAGGTTGGAGGCCGTTGCTTTTAGGTTGGAGGCCATTGCTATTAGGTTGGAGGCCATTGCTATTAGGTTGGAGGCGATTGCTATTAGGTTGGAGGCCAGTGCTATTAGGTTGGAGGCCATTGCTATTAGGTTGGAGGCCTTTGCTATCAGGTTGGAGGCCATTGTTATTAGGTTGGAGGCCATTGCTATTAGGTTGGAGGCCTTTGCTATTAGGTTGGAGGCCTTTGCTATTAGGTTGGAGGCCATTGCTATTAGGTTGGAGGCAATTGCTATTAGGTTGGAGGCCATTGCTATTAGGTTGGAGGCCATTGCTATTAGGTTGGGAGCCATTGCTATTGGGTTGGAGGCCTTTGCTATTAGGTTGGAGGCCATTGCAATTAGGTTGGAGGCCTTCTGCTATTAGGTTGGAGGCCATTGCTATTAGGTTGGGCCATTGCTATTAGGTCGGAGGCCTTTGCTATCAGGTTGGAGGCCATTGTTATTCGTTTTTGAACATGTTTGAAGTTTGAAGAGGCTACTTACGTTGTACCCAGTTTTGCTCGCCAGGTGGTTTGGTGACAAGGATCAGCACTTCAAGCTCGTCTGATCCGACAAGAATCACAGAAGGAGTCAAAAGCCCAGATGCAGCAGAAGCACGACCAGGTGAGCGGGTGTTCCTAGCATGGCCAAACACTATAGGATGCCTTTTATTAAAATGATTATATATATATATTATAGTAATATATATATATATCAACGCGTTTAAATTTTGTAATTTGTAGCAATATTCCAGGGTTCTTGTTCCACGGCTGCTCAGGTGGCGGAGAAACTGGGCAAGATGAGAATCGTGACGCCTGAGGTGTTGCGGGTCACGAAGATCTCTTCTTCACCTTCTGGAGCCATTCTTTTGGGGACACTGGAAGAAGATCATGACTCTCTCGTGCCTCTACAACGGGCTTGTGGCGGTACTCGGCAGTTTCACCGCTGTGCTGATGCTTCTCTTTGGCTTTGCAGGTCTCCCTGCTTGGTACAGGATTGACGAGGGCCGAGGTCATGCGCGCTGGTCCCTGTGCTCGGGGGTGATTGCGTTGGCGATGATTTTGGCGACCTCAAACTCAGTTCTTCCACCGGATATGCATTCATAAAGCAGACATTCAGTTGAAGACGCTTGGGGGCTGCTGAAGAGCTCAGATTCGATGCTGATCCTTTGGGATCCTACTTGGACAGAGCGGATGCGGTGCTTATTTGAGTTGGCAGGATGGGAAACAGCACTTAATCATCACATCCGCCTGTTTCAATTGCCATTTTCTTTACTGCCTCCGTGACCACCTTTGACTGTCGTGGGGGGATCTCCTGATGGACTTCTCGTGTATGTCGCGTCTTCGAGGACACCGTGCGGTCGGTGCTTGACGTGAGCGACCTTGAAAGAGTTTTCACGTCGAGGTGTTTCATGGACGCCTACTTCATGGTGCACGAAAGCAAAGGGCATTTGAAAGCGAATTGGCTACTCATTGGCTTGAGCATTTGGCTGAGCCTCATAGATCAAAGACTTGGCCGGACGCATGCCAGGTTGGGAAATCCATGCTTGGAATTTGCGAAGAATTTGGGACCTTCCTGGTAGGATCTGTTCCTGCTGCGACCATTGCAGGCAGTTTTCTTTTTCAGATTAGCAGACTTGAGCGCGCCGGAGTGTTTTTCGGCTGCATGCTGCTAATTCAACTGGTCTCTTAGTGCATCACTTTTGGCTTCAAAACAGTTCTGAAGCCTTAGAATAGAAGCCGTACGGGATGGTTAAAGCCCAATCAGCCCTGTAAAGCCTTTTGACATACAGATATAATGTGTAGCCGTGTAGCCCATTACCAGTAGCAGTCGGCAAAAGACTATCACTATCTTTGAGAAAGGCCTTTACTGAACGAGGATCACAGTTTCACCTGCAGTGGCTCAACGAGTCAAGCACCAAACTGCCGCAAGCAAGTATGCTGCAAAAACGTGCTCAAAGGTCGTGCCGAACCTTTTTCAGCGAAAAGTCTCTGAACGACAAAACGCTATATTCCACACCCTCAAACATGATTCACAAGGATTTGTAATATTTCGTCAATGTGAATGGATTTGAACAATTAAACATAAATAGAAAGACATGGACAGAATGAGATTAGATTAGTGAAAGGACTGTGACGTGTTCGAAGGATACAGCAACTTCAAGACTGCAGCTGCAGCCAAAGCTGCTTTGCAGATGTTCCAGGCCGATCGTCGATTCGTGGGATTTGGCAGTGGCTTGGGACATTCAGGGGAGTTCAGGGGAGCGGAGGAGTTCCCAAAGGTTTTTTTCACTTCGCTTTCTTGTCCAATCCTTTCCTTACAGTTTCTCCTGAACCGGTCTGAACCCAATTTTCAGAGCATTTTCAGCGCCCAGGGCCCTGGCAACGAGGAACGCCGACGCGCAGAAGAGGCGGCCAAGGCCAACGCTCGGAGGCGTGCAGCAGCCTGTTGCACCTGACACGTTTGCATCTGAATGCTTCTCATACTTTTGTTGATTGCACCCCAACTTTGAAGCTTACGATTCTTCAGCCATAGTCAAGATTTCGGAGCAGGTCCCGGAGCAGGTTTCGGGGGTTGCGGAGCAAGTTTCGGAGCAGGCCCCAAACCACGTTCCGGAGCAAGTTCCCATGCAATGTCTCTCTGATGCGCTGAGGTGTTGCCACGGCGAAGCCCTGACATGGTAACGATACCATAGTATGAAGCAGACTGTTGTCAGATTAGCTCGGTGTCATGCCGACATGTTGTCAGGCTGTCGTGCAGATATGTTATCATGCTGGCGCACTGGCGTGGGGCGTGGGGCATACGCCCATGGATTGCCGTGTTGGTATGCTCGCGTCGCGCACCCTAAGAGGCCCACACTTGTGAAAATAGCTTTCACTCATAAAGACACAGCACCTGTTGGTGAAAATGGCGCCATTGTTTTGCAGCCTTGCACATGCCCAGACCAGCTGCGAGGGCTTTTCTGAGGTCTTTTCATTGGTTGATTGAGATTTGTTGCTAGTTTGAGGTGAGCAAATAGAATCGGCCAATGCGCGGGTGCCGCCGAATAGTTCGCCTTTGGTGCCGATGCATCAGGAAAACCAAGACTTCGAGGCAACGGGGTGTTTTGAACAAGTCAACCCTTCACAATCAGAAGGAAAAAATCAAAGCTCACACTTGTCCCAACGCGCGAGCGAAAGCCATGTGCACGTCATAGCCTATTAATGTACCTCAAGGCAGTCCAGAACTTGTAAGCAGCAAGCAACAGTCGTTCTGAAGGGCAAAGACACTGAAAGAGGTGTGGAAGCAAGTTCGCCTGGCCTGAACCTACCTATTTCACACAAAAATGGCCGAAATGGTCCTACAGGCCGTTTGAAGCCGACTGAAAGAGGTGCGAGGTGCGCCCTGGTAACCAGCCGCCCAGAGGTGGGGCCTCCTGGTAAAGGCCACGTGACAGCTTGGAAGCCAGCCACCCGGCTGGCCAGCCATCCCGGTCTGGAGCATTGCACAGCGTGCTGCATCCTTGGAAATAGTTGTCAGGGGTGATGGTAGAGGCCCAACGAAGCGTGGCAAGGGCTGCCGCAAACATTCTTCTGCCCCCCCGCTTGGCGTGAGCTGGGTCGGGGTCGACGGATTGACTTACAGGTTTGTGGGTCTGAATGGGCTTTAAACTGTTCATTAGCGGCGACCTGGCTCGATCTGACGACTGCCACAAGAGCGAGTCGTGACCCACAAGACTCAAGTCCAGCAGCTCAAACTGCGACATGAGGCTGATGAATGCACCTTTGCCAAAGGCTGGGAACTGTGAGGGAAGGCAAGCTCCTTGCCAAAGATACATGATACTTTGGCCCAGAAAGGAAAGGAAAAGGAAGGAAGAAAAGGACACAGGAAAAACGTCTAAAGAGAAGAACAACAACAACAATAACTAAGTTGTGGACTTGTGGATCGTAACTGGTAATTGAGGGTTCAATCCGGACATGACATGGACAAAAGACCACGTGGTTGCCCGTTAGGCCGAACATCCTCCCCCATGTAGAGCCAAGCATGCTCAGGGCCGGAACACGGGATGAACCAACCTGAATTTAAATTCATATACAAGTTTTCAAGAGCAGAATAGAAGCTACTAGGGGCTCCTGGCCTTACTACTAGGAGCAAGGGCCTTACTACTAGGAACAAGCAGCTAGTAGAAACAAAAAGAATTTAAGTTGAATTGAAATTCAGGTTTGTTTTATAAATCACGCTATTTCAATCCATCTGGATCCACTAGACTCTCAATAGTAACAAAGGACGCTACTAGTAACAAAGGGCATCGCTACTACCAGCCAGAAGCTACTAGTAGTTCCTTCATTACTACTAGTAGCAAGAAGCTACAAGTAACAAGTAATTGCAATCTTTTGACCCCTTTGATTTGCCCGGACTTCTTTGGCCATTGTAATGCAGGCTGGTGCCGACGCGCAGTCGAGGCCAAACGAGGAGCCTAGAAATGAGATGCCCAGGCAGCAATGCTGAAGAGTATGACGCATGCTTTGGAATTCCGAAACAGTTCTTTGTTACTAGTAGTAATGCACTTGTTACTAGTACATTCTAGCTACTAGTAGTAATGCCCTTGTTACTAGTAGCAATGCCCTTGTTGCTGGTAGTTTCCTCCTTACTTGACCCTGTGCGTTTTGCTGTGCATGGACTAGGAGACTAGTGGTGGGGCTTTAACAGTTGGCCCGTGTAGCTCAACGAAACCTGTTGCATGATAGGGCAGTTGCATTTGCAGTTATTTCTTGTGCGGTGCCATCTCAGGCTGGAAAAGCCTCATGCCCCTGTCGCCAAGGTGATGATGCCGATGAACAATCCTAACTGTTGTCCCTTTGGAACGCTTTTCTTGAGAACAGTCGAGCTTCTGTAGCTTCAGGGGATCTTGAAAATAGAACATGAGTCGCAAAGACCCAACATGAAAAGCCGAAGATTTGATGGTTGCAGCTCCCGAGTGCTTAACAGGCAGAGACCTTCGACGGTAGGCCGAGCCCAAACATGTCAGGCCGGAAGAAGCTTGAGGCAATGTAACAATGCTGTATTTCAGTTCGTGTTCTGGTAGGGAAGAGGACAATAGTTTGGAGCTTGATATTCTGGATGGGTATATTGGGGAGGTGGATGGATGGTGAAGTTGCCAGCACAAAATCCAATTTCTTATTTACTGCCGCTTGATAACGTTCGTTTGTCATTGTCTAATGCAAGTCATCAGCGCAATGCTACTCTTGTTCTTCCCCTCCACTGAACCAGGTGGTGGCTCTTCACGCCTCTCGGCGGTGGGGGAGGATGGCTTGGTAGAGTGTTTGTTGATATCCGTTCACCGTTAGCTTCAGACAACTTCTGTTACCGTTGTTTATCATTCATATTTGTTTTTAAGCATCCTCAAAAGGACAAAAGCTGTCTTTTCTTGAGCCAAAGCACCAAGTTGGTATGTTTTCATGGGAGGGCATGTAGCCTCACTCCCCCTAATGGCGTTGCCATTACGCTTTTCGGTAGTCCTTGGGCAGGTTTTTTCGTCCACCCTCGGACACCAACTCAAAACTATCATCCGACTCAGCTTCAGGTTCACTTTCATGTCCAGGTGGAAGTAGTGCAGGAGTTTCGATGCCCATCCACACCGGAAACTGGTCAGCTTCAGGCGGTAGGTGGTCCTGAGACCCTTGTGCTCGATTTCTTGCCTCCTGACCAGGATCTAAATCAATCTCGCCTCGTCGGCCACACCCAAACAAACGCAGGTCATAGCCAGTCATCTTACCACCCTCGATGGATTCAGTGTCACACGCACTGATTCCCGCCCCATCGTAGGTGATGCCGCCCTCGACCGTCATGTGATTCTCCTGCTCCAAGGCCTTCTGACCTCGTTGCTTTGCCCTTGAACTCACTGGATTTGATCCCCCATAACCTTGAGCCGGTGCCACCGACCCAGCAGGAGGAAGCGGACCAGGCTGAAAGTCACGCCGGCCCTGTGTGCCGATGCCTCCCTCTTGCGATGCTCCGAACTTCACATAGAAGAAAGCATATCCACACCACTCATAGTGCCCCTCCAAATCCGAATTTCTGTTCTCTATCCAGTCGTCCGTCACCAGGGTCCTTTTCCACACTTCTCGAGGATTGCCCCGAGAAAAGGCCACAGTGACCCGAGTTGCCGAGAGTCTCCCTATGGACATAGGTGTGCCCCGATGAAGTGGATGGAAGGATCTGACTCTCGACTTCTTCAAAACTCTGACCCACCACTCTCCGCCGCCCAAGCCAACGCCAAGGCACTCCCACCTGTCGTTCCCCGTTGGTGGAGTCTGGAATCTGTTGAGCTCCCACGGCAGGTCGGTGCCCAAGCCCACATGAGTGATTGGCGATCTCAAAGTGCTAAGCTTGGGAGGCGGCTGCATCCATGGCTTCAATTCGCGCTCGCGTCCGCGGGAGCCCTCAGGGCTACAGTCGCGTCCCGGTTGGGAGACAGGTTCATCTTCCCTTGTCTCATCTTGATCCTTTCTTGTTTCGACATTGCTCTTTCCGGATGCCTTTGTCCGAGCCGATGCCGCGTCCTCAAATCTTGACAGGTCTTCTCCCCCCTTCCTACCCATCAATACAGCTACACTTGACACTACTGCTGCTAAGGTGAGACACTTAGCCACCAGGTTCTCCTTGGGGGTGATGAGAATACAAAAGACCATGCTCCGGGGTGCCACTTAAGAAACCCAGGACTTGCGCTCCATACTTCTGAATTCTCACCGGGCAGCGAGCCACGTGTCTTCCAAGCCACGACACTGCATAGGCTATATCCACTCTCGTCCGAACCGCCAGCCAGAGCAGCTCGCCCACCAAAGTCTGCGCGCGTCGCACCTCCTGGATATCAGGATTAGGCTCATCAGAGTCGTCAAGGCTACCAGGAAGTGGACTTGCCGCATACTTCAAATCTGAGTACCTGCCTGGCCAAGAGATCCTTGAGGTAGGCATTCTGGTGAAGACGAATTCCTTGAGGTTCTTGAGAGATTTCAAAGCCACAAAATCTCAAACCGTGGTCTCGGCTCAGCCACTCAGGAGAAGAGCGTTTCCACTGTTCTTGAAATCGTCGAAGTGGGGCTTGAGTGACACTATCTTCACCTGTGATCAGAATGTCGTCGACGTAGACGGCCACAAAGGCATAGACCTTGTCTGCGCATCCAGAACCACCTTCCATAGGTTTGGCTCTTGAGTTCTTGCCAGGCGCCAGCCCACACCATTGTCTGTCCACCTGAATCGAGCCATTTCCTCGTCCCGAAAGATCGCCCAGTTGATTGGGGCTTCTTGAAGGCCGTAAAGGGAGTTTTTTACCTCCCATATTTCCCCTTGCTTGCACGCTCCAGCTTCAATCAATACCCTTGGGGGTCGAGTGATGAGCTTCCTTCTCCCCCTCCCGACTCCCTGATGCCTGCGAACTCCTCAAGGAAACCGGGCTCGGTTGGGATGTAGTCGTAGTAGCTACTTCTGAACCCTTTGATGCATCAGAGTCCTCCGTGCTCTTCACCGGCGACTCCTTGTTGGGCGAGGCATTCTTCACCTTCGCCACCTTCTTTGGATCCTTCTGATCTTTGTCTTTGCGAGTTGGGCACTCCCTTGACATGTGCCCTTCCCCACTACAGACATAGCACCTGTTCTGTTTGTTGATGCCCTCCCAGGAATGTCCATAGGCGCACTGATCACCCCGTCAACAGCCCTGAGTCGAGCCCCAAAACCTGCGCGGAGTTTTTGGCTTTTCCTCCGTCGATCCTGCTGAATTGAAAGCTGCCACCTTCGGAGCGGTCCCCCCCGTTGCTGAGGCAGTGTTGACATTCAGACTTGTTGTGTTTCCCCTCGATGAGCCCACCACCAGAGCCAGATCCTCAGCTTCAGCCTGGACATACTCCGCATACTCCATGATGGATTCCATCGTTGGGCACTGATCCACAGCCAGGTCTTGCCTTGCTGCAGCCATCCTGAACGAGACCTGAGCTCCTCCTTGTCGACCCAGGGCTTCGGTTACTCGATTGAGCACTTGCACAAAACCAGCGGATCCGGAGTTGCAAGACCCAACTCCTGAGCACGTTGAATCCAGCGCCTCCATTGGCGAATCCCTGACAGGACGTCCGCCGCCCCATGACCCACCTTCAGGTCGGTGATGCTCTTCAAAAGTGCAGTTCGTTCGGCCGACCCTCCTGGTTGAAAGATGGTATACAGCCGAAAAAGGATTCCCAAACGGCTGACTCAGCTGACCTTCCTGGAGGCAATGACATCCTTTCTGACTTGGTCCGGAAGAACCCCCAACAAAATGGTCACTCCACGATGCTCTACCCTCTCAAAGCTCGGATCCACAGGGCGCTCCACCTTGAGTCTCAACCGTTCGAGCGGTTTCAACTTCAGCCAAGTCTCATAGAGGGCCCCCGCTTCGATGACATTCGCTCGCCACCACCCTCTCGCCAACGCCGAGAGGTCCGACATGAGAGGCATAGCAACCGTCAGCCAATCTCCAAACGCCAATGACGCCCCATCACTCCCCGGCAGAGGAAGCGAGGGCAACTCCAAGCTCCGAAACACTTCATTCACAGCTCTGCCGGTTTGTTCGGCCGTGGTTGGGGGACCCTGACCTATTCCTCCTCCCTGCAACCCTGGTGGACAGTCAAGACCATGTACTTGTGAGCCTCCTTGATCCTGTGGTAGAGGGTGTCCATGGGCCTCCAACCCAACTCCAGAGCGCAGCGCATCGACCCGGGGTTGCCCTTGCTCCCGACCAGCGCTAGGGACCGATTCGAACGAAGACGATTCGCCACCCCCCCGTGATCTTCTTGATCTCTCTTGCAAACAGAGTCTCTGCCTCCTTGAGGACCTTTTCCCTGATCGCCTCCACTTCGAGGTGGGTTGGAGATCTTCGAACATCACCTTGGAGGTACTGGATCATGTCCTGACCTGCTCCCAGCCGCACCCAGCGGAGCCTGTGTGCTCCAGAAGGGATTGATCTCTGTCCCTCTTGCCTGTGGCGGTGTGGTCATGGAATAGGGATCGAGCGCCCTTGGTTGCGGCCCAGACTCCATCCCAGGCCCATAGCTAGTCGGCCTTCCTTGTGGTGGAAGAGGATGTTGTGGGGATGCAACCATGCTTCCATGCCCTCCATGAACATCAGAAACACTACCGGCAAGGTGTCCAAGATCGTGGGGATGCAAAAGAGGAGCTAATAGACCCTGGTTTTGAGGGTTGCCACCAAATGCTCGTTGCAACACTTCCAGCGATTGTCGAACTGAGTCCAGCAGACCAGGCACCGATTCACTCGATACCTGCCCTGCCCCCGTCTCCCTGCCCATGGCACGACCTTCTGGCTCTCTGCTTGTCCTTCTCACCGAGGAACCTGCCATCGCCTGGGTCGCCTGGCCTGGAGCCGCTGCCAACCTTCGAACCGCCGCTGTAGTCGCCGGCACCGATGCCGCCCTACCTTCACGATCTTCTTCCAGCAGCCTTTCCAGCCGCTCTTCTGCCGCGCCAACCCGCAGCACCCCTGGTCGATCACCAGGGTCCACCAGCCACTCAGCTTCTCGGGAGCGACGGCGGCGCGATTGAAATGCCATGGGGACCAGCAACTTCCAAATGGAAGGTGGACTTCCTGGCTACCTGCTTGGGCTCATAACCTAAGCATCCTCAAAAGGACAAAAGCTGTCTTTTCTTGAGCCAAAGCACCAAGTTGGTATGTTTTCATGGGAGGGCATGTAGCCTCAGTTTTAGACCATCTTTTATCTAGATGAAACAAGTAAAAAGGTACCCGGTTCGGTGACAAGGCGAGCATGTGCCAAACCAATCGATGTGAGTGACTTGATTTCTTTGTATTGGAGTCTGAGAGCCAGCTTTCTTGTTTTGCATTTTCAAGGTTTGGCCACAAGCAAGCTGCACTCCAAAAATGTTGATGACACTCTGCAGACCTTTTTTTTGCGTGATCAAGCTTCCTGCACTGTCCCTCATCGAATGTTTGAAGTAAAGCATGGGGGGTTCTGGGTGAGATTCTTACTGTATGGGTTCTTTAACACGTTGGTTGCTTTCTCATCTACAATTCTTCTCCGTCTTCCTTGTTCCTCAGGCTACACAGGAGTTCTGAAGGCGAGTCAACGGGATCCGCCCGTCTGAAAGATCTAAAGATTCTGATCAGGAGTTCTGAACTTGGAAACTGGACACACAATTCCTATACTAAACTCGATTCGGTGCCCATTCTCTCTCACACTAGTCTCCAGGAGTAGCAGTCAACGTAACAATTTTAGACGCGACCCTAGCCGGAAGAGCAGAGGAGATCACCTCTTGCATGAGATACCCTCAGTCACGATATCGTTAGACCGTTTGCAAGAACGAGAGTGAATGAGCTTCAAACCTCCACTACTACTCCGTTGTTTTGCCATTCGATTTGGAAGCTAGTTGACGACCAGTGGAGGTCTTCAAGCAAGAGAGTGGTTATGGCTTCATCGACTGCGAGGAGAGTCTTCTTCCCAAGCACTTCTTTGGGAAAAAAAAACAATACATTTCTCTCAATGCATCAATTTGTTTCTTCAATGTGTTCAATGCGTTTTCACAAGGAATTTCTTTTGAACGCCACAGAGGGTTGCCGGCAGAGTGGAACGTTTGCATATCGCTGTCCAGCAATCCAATAAACATACGATGTATATAATACATAATATATGTACATATGTATACAAATATCTTATACATTATGTATAAATTCGGTATAATTACGGACCTACACACATGGAAGCAAGAACAACACAAGACTTTCAGCGCTGTACAGCCACAGTAACCAGTCAGCCGAAATAACATCCCATGTTTTGCGAGGAGCTGAAAAAGCTCTACGGCCAACCTCACCATGTTTGCACGAATGCCACAAAATGACCACAACGAGCGTGTCTCAACATGTCTCAAGTGCTGGTGAGTGAATAGCCTGGCTACTTCTACATCTCAAGTGTGGTGCAAGAAAGATAGGAACGACCTCGGAGAGGATGGGACGAAATGAGAAGCTTCAAGGGCAACCAAGGCGAACATTTGAATGCACCAAAAATAGACCTGACAAAGAGAAAGTTACCATGTTCTCATCAACGCAATTGCCATGTGCCAAAAGAATGAACGTGGAAGTTCTCCCAAGACCGAGATAAGCATTTGTACGAGATGTCAACGTACGTGAACACTGTCAAGCCACTCGCTTTCTTTACATACCTCGCGCCGTTTCTTGGGTCCGAAGATTGTGATCGCCATGGCAGAGCCTTGCTGTGCCTTGAAGGCTGGGAACTCGTTTCTGAGCTCCATGTGGCCCAAGTGCAGCATGTGCAAAGCGTTGCTATTAGGTTGGAGGCCATCGCTAGTAGGTTGAAGGCCATCGCTAGTAGGTTGGAGGCCATTGCTATTAGGTTTCTTTTGGTATTAGGTTGGATGCCATCACTTCTAGATTGGAGGCCTTTGCTTGTAGGTTGGAGGCCATCGATTCTGGTTTAAACGCCATTGCTATTAGGTTTGAGGCCACTACTTCTAGGTTTGAGGCCATTGCTTGTAGGTTGGAGGC